GGAGTTACTCAGTATTCCTGGGTCTCTCACATGTATACAGAAGGTATACATGTTATTAAAGTTTTGTTTGTTTTTCTCCTGCTAATTTGTCTCATGTCAATATGATTCTTAGAAGAATCTCAAGAAGAACTTTGAAGGATACATAAAAATTTTTCCTCTCCAACAAAATAATCTCAAATAGTTTAGTCCTAAAGGGTCACTTCTTCCCATTACACTAGCTCTCTGATTGCTGATGTGGATAGTGATGTCCTTAAAGTCAGAACGTGGCTTTTTAATAGCCAATCAAGAGACTATTGTCTGAAAAATTAAGCTGAAGAGTAGGAAAATTAGTAGATTTCAGCATATGAACTCCAAATGAGAATTCCAGTTAATCATTAGGATTTTCAATAATCAACAGAATTAATCCTAGATCAAATCCAACTAAAGAAGATTTAAAATTCTTTATTTTATTGTATTAAATATGTGAAGAACTCCAGGCTAAGTATAATTAGAAGCACTGACAAATATTTTATATATGAAATTTTGTAGGCAATGTTAAGTTACTGAGAAGATAATCAGTGCAACATGATGCTGATTAAAGAAGGGAAAGAAGAAAGATGGAAGAGAAAGGGGAATAAAGGAAGTATAATAGTCCCCTTCTTTATCTGCAGGAGATACATTTCAAGACCCTGGTGGATGCCTGGAACCATGGATAGTGCCAAACCTTATATGAGTTGTGTTTTTTCCTATATATACATACATACCTATGATAAAGTTTAATAAATAAATTAGGTATAGTAAGAGATTAAAAACAATGACTAATAATAAAAAAGAACAATTATAACAATATATTGTAATAAAAGCTATGTGAATGTGGTCTCTCTCTCTCAAAGTATCCTATTGTATTGTACAATTTTATTTTTTATTTTTCTATTATAAGGCTCTAGTACCTGCTCCACAGGGCTTTAGATACAATTTGATGCTGTGTCATACAGGAAAATTAACAGGCAGGCAGGAGCAAATTCCTCTCACTAATGGTTTAGATCCCTACAACAGTAGTTCTTGGTTTTTCACATGTATCTGAATTGCCTTGCAGAACACAGTGTATTTGCAAATTTTGGCTATATTCCCAGGGACTTTGGTTCAATTGTTCTGGGAGTGGTTCTCAGGAATCTACATTTTGACAAGTACAATAAACAAAAATGTTGACTTTGTGAGATCATTATTGATTTGTATACTGGCTGATGCAAAACTTTCACTTGTGTACCTCATGAGGAAGGTGTGTAGAGATGTCATTTAGCTAAAGGTTGAGTTTAGTGAACCATGTAGCATATTTATTTCAACATAGGATATTTTACGTGTAATGACCCTCATGAACTGACAAAAACAGAGAGAAAATATTGGAGATGTTAAACAGTCACTAACATGGTGGGAATACATATAAAAGGAAAGGAGGCTTCCAGGGAAAGTGAAACATGAAAGACATGAGGGGGTACAAATACTTAAAAATTTATACAGGTGAGATTTTTGAAGCCTAGAACAGTTTTGTGTCTCAACCATTTTTTTTTCAGCTTTGATACATGAAAATGGACAGTTTGGGAAGAGAGGAGATTTTCTTTCCACAGGACTAGGCTAGGTAAGCAATCTCAGAGGGCCTAAAATGTTACTGTGGAAATTTAAGGTATTTTCAATCTACCTGTTCCCTGTCTCATGTCCAGTGAGATTAGTTTTGGGAGCATTTGGGGGTGTGACACTATCTGAAATTAATGAAATTATACAGGAATATTTCTTCTGATGTTCCTAAGGTATACAGTTCTTTTAGAGCAGTGTTTCTCAAAGTGTGGTCTTTGCATCGGTGGCATCACTATCACCTTCGAATGTGTTAGAAATGCATATTCTCAGCCCCAGTCTCCAGATCTATTTCATCAGAAATTCTGGGAAGTTCCCACCAATCTAAAACTTAACAAACCCTCTAAGTGTTGCTGTGAAGCATGCTGCAGTTTCTCCTTAATACGCCTTCATGAGTTAGGCTCAAGGAGGAGAAGATCCTTTCTTCATCTCTCTTACAAGTATGGGCTTTGCTGTTCATTTTTTCTTCCACAGCAATGTGATTAAAAAAAAAAAATACAATAGTATCTTGAATCACACAGATATGGGTTTGAAACCCTGTCCTAAGCCAACAGGCAGCCTTGGGCAGGCTCCTTATTGTCTCTGAACTTTAAGCTTTTGCCTATTTATAATAAAGTTATTAATACCTACTTAATAATAATATTATTAGAATCAAATGGGAAAATGAACTGTAGGGGTTCAGAAAGAGTTGCCCCAAGATTTGTACCTTTGGCATGCAGATTATTTAGAGCTAAAAATAATCAAGGCCCAAAGATTCAGGAAGAAATGTTGACCTTAACCCTAACTGCTTAAAAGAATTTAGATAGAGGACCTGCTCCAGCACGAGAGGCATCACCATAAATAACTACATTATAATATGAACCAGAGCTGGTAGATAAGGAGGACTCTTGCAAGGACTGTTTAATCAAAGTCCTCCCTATGTCCCCTTGTTTCTGGATGGCTCAGCAACATTTGCTTCACAAACATTTACTCTTCATTTTCCTGTGAATTGCTTTCCTTTTCCTTTGAAGTCCCAGACCAGCAGCCTTTTCTCTTTAGTTCAGGATGATATATATACCTCGTTTTGCCTGTCTTTGGAATCTCATGTCTATGTGGATCCCCATATATATGAAATTAAATGTGATTTTTCTCCTATTAATCTATTTCATGTCAATTCAATTCTTAAACCAGTTGTTAGAAGTTGAAGGCTTACCAACAGAATAAACAGTACTTGGCACTTAGTAGGTTCTTCTCCATCACTTAATATTCATTTATTGAATTTAACTTAATATGAAGTTATTAAATTTAACTTCATGTTAGTTAAATTTAAGTTAATTTCACTTGTGCCAACATGGCATGAAAATATATGCAAGTATGATCTAACTTATTTCTAGCTCTAACCCTCTCAGGATTAGTACATTTAGTTCATAACTAAAATGCACATAGATAAATAAGAAAAAAAAGGGGAGAGGGCTTGGGGTATTTGGTGCTAAGAGCTGACTTAAATATAAATATGGTAGTTTTTAAAGTCATAACAACAAATTTCCCTTCAGTAGAAAATGCTTCAGATTTGAATCTTGGTCTGCTTGGCTCCAAACTACTCACTCCTTCAACTCTTCATGTTACATGCTCAAGGTCATGTAACCTAAATTTAATGAACTTGAGCATGTAACCTAAATTTAATGAACTTCTGTTTCCTCATCTAGAAACAGGTTGCTTCTCCCTCTGCCCTTCACCCCGCTGGTGCTGCCTCTCTCACTCTCATTCTCTCTCAAATAAATAAATAAAACCTTAAAAAAAAAAGAGAGAATTCTCATTCTTGTTTAAAAAATTGTGTAGTAATCTCATAATATAATATGGAGTTGGTCATTAGATAAGGGGCTTTAAGAAAACTAGTTACCTCCCCTCCTTCTGCCATTGCATGGGGTAGAACTTCTCCTTTTGTTTTGAGGGAGGTGTACGTGTATGTGAAAGAGAGAGAGAGAGAATATATGTCGTACCTGTGTTTTTGAGGGAGCTGGTAAATTAACCCAATTGCATGTTTACACATCTCTGGTTATGTTTACACATTTATAATGGACTGCCTGAGATCCAAGCCCTGAAGTATCATGTTATGGAGCTCTAGCACTCTGTACTCAACTACAAGGAAAACATTCTATGCCTGGACTGTGACTGGAACTTTGCAAGTCAGTAGACATGCCTTTAACAAGCAATAAAATGAAGCTGTCAGCCATTACAAATGGACCAAGATAGAGGTCACATGACTAAACCACCTCTGGACCAGGCAGTCTCTGATGTATTTTACTCCAGTTTCTATCTATTAATCAGAGGAGTTGGGAGAGCAATAATTTAAATGCTGCAATAATCAATTCCATAACACATTAATAGAAGCTACAGTCAAACTTTCCCATACACTGACTGCATTGGAATCCTGACAGAAGCCCTAAGGCCATGCCTAATTTGCATTTAATTTACATAAAATTGTAAATCAAGAATACATGAAAACAGCCCTAATATTTGTTAGTACTTAGATCTTTCCTGATAGATGGATTGAAGCTGCTTGTGGTTTGACTTCACTTGCAATAAAATTGTGCAGCTGATCAGCTTTGTTCTCATTCTGCAATTATGGGGAAAGGGACCCATGAGAGCTATAGTTTGGGGCATGCGTATGCCACTTAGGGTTTTCATCCTATAAAACCATGACTCAGATGTGACCTTGGGAACCCCAATCTAGAAGCAGATTGTCCCCAGTGACTTTGCAGATCCTGGTCACTCGATTTGCTCACAAATAACATACCATTAAATGGCGATACAATTTAAAAAGAAAGCTGGCAATGAATCATGGAACACTGCATCAAAAACCAATGATGTAATGTATGGTGATTAACATAACATAATAAAATAAAATTAAAAAAAAAAGAAAAGAAAGCTGGTCAGCTGAGAGGATGTCAAGGCCTCTGGAAATTTTTTTTTTTCCAAATTAACACTTACTATCATAAAAACAGATAATTAGTAACATTCTTTATGCTGAAGATAAAAATCAAGTCTTCAGCAAAGCATCCAGTACCTAGCAGCGGATAAAGTGCACCTCACATGGTTCTAAGCACTCTGTGTGTTCTTGTTACCCTGTTCCAACCTATTCAATAGATATGGGCTTTGCTATGTGCTTTTATATTCAGGGCTAAGAGACAATATTCTTATCAAGGGTACTGGCTCACAGTGGCACTTTTTGTATTCTCCTTAGTCCTCTTATTTTAAGTCTGTCCTTTCTGAGAGAAAATAGACACTTAAATGCAATAATGCATTTGAAAGTTTTCTTCCTTCAGAAAGCATTTTGCAAATATCTTGTACATCATGTTTATTTTCTGCTTCTCACCTCTCCCTTACCACCCATCTATCCCACCTTTTCTTACCTTGCACGATCAAGTAAACTTGGGAGGTCTTGGGCTCATGCTGTGTCTGAACCGAGCAAGTATAGGAACCCTCATCATAGACATCCACCTTCTGGATTCGGAGGCTGTATTCCAGAGAATGGCGTTTCTCCAGCTCAACCCGAGGGTCCAGAGACCACTTGTCATGCCCAGCAAAAATGATGCCAGAACGGTTCAACCAGGCCACCTTCGAGTTCTTGTCTTCTACAACGCACCTGGCAGAGCAGAACAACAACATTAGAACCTCAGTCCTACCTGCATCCACATTCATTCTCCACATTGGCCTCAACAAGACCGATCAAGAACAACGATTATATGCAGGATGAATAATTGCCATGCCATTTTTTAGAGTCCTAAGTATTTTCACTATTTCTCCTAAGACTAATTACCATCCAATGGATGGATGTCGTTATGTTAGACTCAATTTGGCAATAAACAATCAGTATGAAAAATGTGGGCAAATAAAATTAAATAGTTATTGACTTCCCACTGGATTATCTTCTTCTTGTCTAGGAAAAGGTCATTCACACAGAACTCCATCTGTTTGAGTACCTGAGAATTTGACAAGTGATAATGTGGCACATTTAATGAGTTTTGAATTGTATTAATTCTTTCACAAGTATTTCCTAAAGTCCTGTGTGATGGTAGATACAAATCATGCCCCACTGCTGTAGGAATTAGACCAGATTTCAGAGTTTGCTTCAGGTTCTTAGAAGTTTGGAATGCCTTCTCCCAGGAGTGACAAGTGTGTGAATAGATCCAAAGGTAAGTAGACAGGTGTTAATGTCAAGGAAATCAGAGCCAGCATCATCTGGTTCCGGCTGCTGAGGGGAACATGTTGTCTGCTGGCAAGACGGCTTACAACCAGCATTTCTGGTGCATCAGAATGAATTCAATATTTTATGGGAGATGAAGTAGCCAATTTCATAGTTCGTATTCCAAGAAAGATGAAGGAAAAAGGTTTATTTGAATGACTACTTATTTTAAAAACCTAAAAGGATCTCTTTCTGAAACTTGCAAGAAAGAGGCAAAGAATACAGATTAATGGGGAAGGGCTGGCTACTTTGTGGTGAATGCAGTTTTCTCCTTCAATTCCACTGAGAATCTGTAAATGGAAAAATCGAGCAAAAAACAAACAAACTTCTCTCTGTATCCCTTTGGTAAGATTTATGTCTGCCCCACAGGGAGATTGTCCCAGACCCTGTTCACAACTGTAGAGCCATCTGCTCAGCACTCTGGGGCATGAGGGATGGCGAGAAGAAGCCAGGAGCATGACAGCAAAAACAATTAAAATACCATGTTCTGGATTCTCCAAACTAAGTCAAATCCACGTTTTCTCTCCAGTCAAAAAAGTCAGTCATAGGGATTCTGCACCCACGCATAGACAGGAAATTGATGCATTATCTACATGCTGTCTACAGTAGGTATACAGAGGCCAACTCAGTCTTAAAAGGAGAAAAGCTGAATCCTTTTAAAATACCTCACCTATGGTTCAAAAGACCTCCTAATCCCATTATTTTTAAGTGAACTGAATATTTTATTTAACATGAGAATTTTATTTAATTACTTGAGTTCCATGATCCACAGGTCTCTCTTCTCTACCTATTTATTTTTAAGAACATAAGTAGATGAAGTCATCATTTAGTGTCTCTATTAGTATGCGTTTCTCTGCCATGGAGATATTGTTGGGATTAATTATATGTTTGATAATTTAGAACTTCTACATGAGGGAGTACAAAGCTAACTTCATGGATGCTTGCTGCTTCTTTCCAGACTTGGTTTGACTTTTCCTGTTTTATTATTTTGTGGCATTGTTTCTCTGTCCTTCATGATATTTGTGGCCCTTCTCAACTGAGAATCATTTAGGAGTTAATAGGCTGCTTGCTGCTTTCTAGAACACAAACGAAGTCACTGATGTAGATTTACTGTGTTTTTCTTTTCTACAGAGAAGAATGGAAATTTGCCTCCGCAGATGCATTTTAAATCTTCTATCATGTCTCTCCTTGCACTTCTCTCCTCTGTGCAGTTCAACACAGCAGCAAACAGATATGCTGCAACATAGAGATGTATTCTGAATAATGTCTAGCCAAAAATATGCCCCTAATATGTTCATTTTGGAAAAAAAATACTATATAATCTATTTTACATAAATATGGCTTACAAATCAATTAAAGACAGATATTTTGTTCTCTTCATTTAGGTACCTCCAAAAATTAATCTTATGGAAAATAAGTACTTAGTAAATGCCTGCTGTGAAACTGACAGTGTCACCCCTACAGAGAAGAGGACATATGGTTACCTATTTTCCACTTCCCCATCCCAAACCTTACAACATCAACTAATGAACTGGACAAATTTCCTTATCAGCACAAGGCAGTTTCTAAGTCAGGTGTTTAGGGTCCATTGGACATTTTAGCAATTTTTGTACATGGAAAAGTTAAACTTATCACACAGATCATTATTCCAAATTATTCTCAGAGACTGTTCAGATTTATCTTACCTAAAGACATAATTGACTATTTCAGCAAAATTGCCAGACCCACAAAAATGTATCTACTGAAACAATACATTATGTGGAAATTTTGCTATGACAATCTACATAACATCTTATTCTTACATTGTGTTTTGTCTTATATTTATTTTTAAAATTTATATTTTACTTACAAATAAATGAAAGGCATATTAGAATATATACACATACATATACACTCACACTTTTTACTAACTTAGTATAGTTAGCCAAGAAGCTAAGCAGAGCACAATGTGGTATTTTTCTTTTTTTAATTTTTACTTTAAGTAACCTCCACACCCAACTGTGGAGCTTGAGCTCACAACCCTGAGATCAAGAGTCACATGCTCTACTGACTGAGCCAGACAGGCACCCCAACAATGTAGTATTTTTAAAAGGAAAACCACTCCTCCAGATATTTAAGGGTTCTTTTTTCTGTAGTCAGTAGTTCCAAAGTAAATATATTGACTCTATAAACTAGAAAATATTCTTTCCACAACATGACTAAAACTTTCATACTGAAAAATGGCAAAAATAATACAATTTCAGAACTAATTTAATTTTTTAAAATTTTGATATCTTGATTTAAGGTGGCAACTATTTCAGACCATAAGAAGAGCACATAAGTAAAAGATGGTAAGAGTCAAAATAATCTCAATTTGTAGAGCTTATGGTTGTTCAATGAAAATAACCAGTCACACAGGGTAGTCACAGAACACCTAGTTATTCAAAAATGAGGAAATGCTGATTTAATGCAGACCCAGGTTCCCAGAATGCACTGACTGACCAGCAAGCATCATGAGCTTTCATCTAGGAGGTAATTTGGCTTAATTGTGCAGTAGGCATTCCTGTAGAGTAAATGAGTATTCTCATGCCATGCTATCATACTGTAATAATGAATTACCCCCTACTCGGAATGCTGCTTCAATACCAGACAACCTAGTTCAGAACTGGATACCTAATGACTTCATTTTCAATATCAGCTGTGGCTAAAGCTGGAAAAGTATGAAGAGATGTATTTTATTAATAAAATATTTTATTTTTTCTATTTAAATTCAATTTAGTTAACATATAGTATTATTAGTTTCAGGGCTGGAATTCAGTGATTCATTAGTTGCATATAACACCCTGTGGTCCTTACATCAAGTGCCCTCCTTAATGCCCATCACCCAGTTACCCCATCACCCTATTCACCTCCCCTCCAGCAACCCTCAGTTTGTTTCCTAGAGTTAAGTGTCTTATGGTTTGTCTCCCTCTCTGTTTTTATCTTATTTTATTTTTCCTTCCCTTACCCTATGTTCATCTGTTTTGTTCCTTAAATTCCACATATGAGTGCAATCATATGGTATTTTTCTTTCCCTAACTTATTTCACTTAACATCATACCCTCTAGTTCTATCCACGTCGTTGCAAATGGCAAGATTTCATTCTTTTTGATGGCTGAGTGATATTCCAGTGTGTGTGTGTGTGTGTGTGTGTGTGTGTGTATGTGGGCTATATATATGTGTGTGCTATATAGCACATCTTTTTTAATCCATTCATCTGTCGATGGACATCTGAGCTCTTTCCATATTTTAGCTAATTGTGGACATTGCTGTTATAAACATTGGGGTGCATGTGCCCCTTCAAATCACTATGTTTGTATCCTTTGGATAAATACCTAGTAGTTCAATTGCTGGGTTGCAGGGTAGCTCTATTTTTAACTTTTTGAGGAAAATCCATACTGTTTTCCACAGTGGCTGCCCCAGTTTGCATTCCCACCAACAGTGTAAGAGGGTTAGCCCTTTCTCTGCATCCTCACCAACATTTGTTTCCTGAGTTGTTAATTTTAGCCATTCTGACCAGTATGAGATGGTGAGATGTATTTTTAAAAAAATCTGTAAGTGTTATGTGTTGTTTAGATTTAATAGAATGTTTTCTCCAGGAGCTCACGACATTGCAAATCATTCCTGGATTTAGAAAGGATGGGTGTTGGTGCCAAGAAGAGAGGACGAGAATGTCCTATTTCAGGTGGGATTTTCTGGCAGGCAGCTGAGAACATGGGGTTACTGTTCTCTAGGAAATCATCTATTATTAGTATACCATTCCTTTTCATGGATCTTTCTTATGACCTCATCATACTCTATATTGCATTCGCATTATCTGTATTTACCTTTCCTTATAAGCTTATTAATGACAGTGGCCCTCCTAGAATTTACCTATGGAGCCCTCGCAGGGCCTAGCAGCACACACCCACCATGTACACAGTAGGCACTCACTGAGATGTAGAAGAAATAAACTGAATTTAATTTAATACATTACTATTAGGTCAAACATCAAATATTTGTTAATTATCTAGGAGGTGCAGAATAAATGGGTAATTATTTTAACATTTCTTAAGAAATAATTAAAAGTATCTAAGACAATGGGAAATTTTAAAAAAGAATTATTGAGTGTGGTAGTAACATGAAAGTAAAGGAGACAAAAGTATGTGCTCAGTGCTTTCATTATAAAGAAACATCATCTCTGGGAATTACATAATCTGTGTCACATGTGAAAAAGTGAAAGAAACATAAAACACTAGAAAAATGTTTAGTGGGTTGCCCACTCTAACCACGAACCCACATATATCAGGTGGGTTACTTACCTTAACTATGGGCCTATGATTTTTTTTTTTTAAATCAGCTTTAAAAAACTTACAGGAAAGGCAAACAAACAAATTTTTATC